ATTAATTCTTAAGTATTATAAATTACCATTTTTTTGTTAAAAAAAATATTTATTTATAAAAATTCCAAAATGTAGGATTAAGAGACTTTGGTCTTCTTTGTTACTAACGAATTCTTTACAAATGGTAGGTAGCCTATACGTGTGACACTGTTCTCCTACTAATATTGATCGTCCTGATCAGTGACTTCTCCTTTGAAGGGAGTAAGCCGGTCAAGATGGACAACTTTCATTTTGACCCAATGTCCTTTTTGAATTTCCTGGCCAACGTCACTGATGCGTTAAGTAACGGTGTATGTGGTTAGTAATTTGTAGTTCCGTCTTGATGAGTGTAGAGTCACATTTCGTCGCCTCTATTAAAAACAAGCAGAGTTAGTTTATTGATTGTATCTTTTTTTCATGCGATCACTTTCTAATCGCAGCTTTATATGCACATCAGTATGGATGGCGCTCTTATATTTTACTCAGGGTGAGCAAACATCGAGTTCGCTGGCAGCCTGAGTTCTTTTCCGAATAAAATACTGGCCGGTGTACTTCCAATTATCTCATGGATGACCGATCTATAACTTCACGCATGTTTGTAGGTATGTTTAGTGATGTTGTTCTCGGAACCATCGATAAATGAACAGTAAGTTCACTTACAAGCAAAAATCAGTAAATAATTATTTCTTTCCAGTGAAATAATAGGACTATTGGCAAACCACCCACAAAAAATTTGCCTTAATAAAATTACGATTTTATCCAGATGACACTCATTTACCTGGTGGTTTTTACGTAACTTACATTCCTTGTTTTTTTTTTGTTCTTAATACATGCCGAGGTGTAAAACAAATGTACTTATTTAATTCAATTACAACGTAAAACGTTCGATAACCAGCAAATTTTATTTCATTCTCCATCGATATAACTCTTCTTATCAAAATACACACCACATTGCCAATTCATCACACACAGGACCAACATGGAATTGTAATTTGTCATGGGTTCCACAAAAAAATTACCCTTAACTACGCAGCTGAACTCATCATGTGATTCCCTATTGCATCTAGTTAACGCACTCCAAAGCTTGTCACTTATTTCTAAACAGAATTTCTCGTTCAGTCTTGTAATATAGTGTCCATTAGTCCTTCGACCTCATTCAGTTTCCTATAGTACACACAAAATCTCGTGGAACTATTTGCGGTGTTAATACAATAGGTGAAGCCCAAGGACTTTGAGATGCTCGATCACTTTTTATTTATGCATGTATCTTATAAGTTCTGTTAAAGAAAATGATGTCAGTTTCGCCTCAGGTTTTTCCCATTTACAGTTCCTTCTCTGTGCCTTTGCAGATCTATTGCTCGAAGTCTTTCAAATTAGCTGTATGAACAGGTATCGTTAATGCTCCAGTTCATTAAAAGTATTTTATTAATATTAATAGCAGAGTAGTCATTAATCACTTTCGGGTTCTTTAAGTTGTGCTAAGAGTAACGCCCTCTGCTTCTCAAGATCAGCTTCTGTGAAAGCTACGTTTCCAGTTTCGTTTTCTTGGGGTGTTCTGCGAGATGATCTTTTCAATGTAGAGTTGCTATTACTTATGGACTCTCGAGATGGACTTCTCTGTTTATATAAAACAATACAAGCATATTTTGAGCTTCTTAAAATTAAGATGTGTGTAAAATAAAAATTATGAGTTCCTAGGCAGTGTGATCTGTAGAAAAAAATAAGATCTGTTTCGAAAGTACATCATTAGCCACAGCTCATATATTTCAACCCACGGGCGTGATTGCCAGGCAATATGGAAATATTATGTACAGAGGTATTACAAATTAATAAGGTACTTTCTTAATGTAACTGAAAATTTATTTATAAACAAACAAAGATACATTTAATATTCAAAGTAATCTCCATTACTTTCAATGATTTTATTCCATCGTTTGGGCAACTGACTAATTCCTTCGCTAATGCTTTCTTGAACTGTTCAACTGTTCCGAAGTTCTTATTAGCTAGGTGATGCTGGAGCGATCGGAGTAGATGGTTATCCGATGGGACAAGGTCTGACGAATAAGCCGCGTGAGGGAAAGCCTCTCAACCCAATCCACAAATGACATCTTTGATACCTTTTGCAACATGCGGCTGAGCATTATCTGTTGCAAAATCACGTGTTTATTGCGGCTACCAGTGAAAGGACTCTTTTGCTATAAAGCATCGCTTAAACGTATAAGTTGCTGTTGATACAGGTCAGCAGAAATAGTCTGGCTAGATTTCAGCAACTCATAATGCACTACGCCTTTCATATCCCATCAGATATGTACATAGCAACACTTTTTGGAATGGATGTTGGCCCTTGGCTCAGTAATAATTTTGCAAAGAAAATCTTTTCTTTAATAAAGAAGTGGCCGTGTTCACTCGTCGCTCTTTGTTTTCTGAGGTCAAGTTATGTGGAACCCAACTACCATGTTTCTGAACTTTACCAAGTTAATGTAGGCGATGTATCTCGTATCTCTATTATGTAAGAGCAGTTATATATAGTGTGTTTAGTGTTGTTTGTTATTGTTTAAAAGGTATTGAATAGATGCGTAAAATTTTGCTAAATTTTAAGGGTATGTTCTTATTTCATATTTATTTCTTCAATAAAATTGCACAAACTTTAGATTCACATGCAATGGCGGAAAAAATTTCAAAAGCGCCAAATTTTCCGCAGGTAATACACTCGGAGTTCAGGAGAAAACTGAAGTAACTTACTACGTTACTCTACAATTCTGCTTGCCATAAAAACATGTACGAATTTCAACAAAAATTCGCGTAAAGCCATGTTCAGGGTAGCATCACATCATATAAGCGTGCTCTGGTGCTTTTAAGTTACTTCCACTACATTGCGATGTAAAACCGTGCTCAGCGATATAGTCCAAGCAAATTAGATACGAAAAATATGTAATTCGAGGACTTAGGGTTCTTCATAGAAGTATTACTGGAAAGTGTATAAATTAAACAATCGAGTGCGTCAAAAATTGAGTGGCGACACAATAGGTAATTTAACAATTTATAGCGTGAAAAACGGTTTTTTAGCTATAGCAAAAAGCAGAGCAATGTAGAGAAAAAAGTTTCAAACAGAAGTTGCAGGTAATTAGCTGTGATTTATTAAGATTGCGTTTTTTTAAGTTGGTTATTTGCAAAAATATGATAAAAACGCTATTTTTACAAATGGGTGCCAAGGTATTAAGTAAAAATATGTCAAATTTCGTAAAAATGTTCCTTTACTGGTTTTAGAAATATGTGCTAAGTTTAAAATCGCCAAAAATTTTTCGAGTAATTGTATTTGTTTATGACACATAGGAAGGGTCATGCAAAAATTACGCAAACAATTTAATGCCAATCTGAAGGATTTATACTTCAAACAAGTATTGAAAAAAATTGAAATTTCCTTGTTTTATTGTTTAAATCCACTTCTGAAAAAAAGTGCGATTTTTACCTTATAAACAAATCGCCGTATACTCGTCAAATTAAAATTTAACTTTCGAAAGTTGGACGGATTATACTTTCATAGGAATCGAGATATGATTTTTTTTTAATTCGCTGTGGCTATTAACAGTAAAAGTTTAAACTGCACAGGTTTATAACTGAAATGTTGAAGTTTAAATGTAAGTTAGTGACGTTTCGATTAATGTTGAATTTGGTAAGTATTAAGCGATAAACAATCACACATTCGATGCATAGCTATAGTACATGGGAGCTGTGGTGGGAATAAGAAAAGAAGCGAGCCCGCTTGCTATCTCTTCGAGTTTCTAAATCCTTCACGAGAGAAAAATTGTTAATATCTCGGTTAATTTTAATCGAAAATCGATGATGAAAATCCTGATATGGAATTCCTCGACGAGTTATTAACAACTAACAAATTCATTTGTTTGTTTATAAATTTAATTCACTTTTAATTAATTCTTAAGTTCGTTANTAAAAAAAATATTTATTTATAAAAATTCCAAAATGTAGGATTAAGAGACTTTGGTCTTCTTTGTTACTAACGAATTCTTTACAAATGGTAGGTAGCCTATACGTGTGACACTGTTCTCCTACTAATATTGATCGTCCTGATCAGTGACTTCTCCTTTGAAGGGAGTAAGCCGGTCAAGATGGACAACTTTCATTTTGACCCAATGTCCTTTTTGAATTTCCTGGCCAACGTCACTGATGCGTTAAGTAACGGTGTATGTGGTTAGTAATTTGTAGTTCCGTCTTGATGAGTGTAGAGTCACATTTCGTCGCCTCTATTAAAAACAAGCAGAGTTAGTTTATTGATTGTATCTTTTTTTCATGCGATCACTTTCTAATCGCAGCTTTATATGCACATCAGTATGGATGGCGCTCTTATATTTTACTCAGGGTGAGCAAACATCGAGTTCGCTGGCAGCCTGAGTTCTTTTCCGAATAAAATACTGGCCGGTGTACTTCCAATTATCTCATGGATGACCGATCTATAACTTCACGCATGTTTGTAGGTATGTTTAGTGATGTTGTTCTCGGAACCATCGATAAATGAACAGTAAGTTCACTTACAAGCAAAAATCAGTAAATAATTATTTCTTTCCAGTGAAATAATAGGACTATTGGCAAACCACCCACAAAAAATTTGCCTTAATAAAATTACGATTTTATCCAGATGACACTCATTTACCTGGTGGTTTTTACGTAACTTACATTCCTTGTTTTTTTTTTGTTCTTAATACATGCCGAGGTGTAAAACAAATGTACTTATTTAATTCAATTACAACGTAAAACGTTCGATAACCAGCAAATTTTATTTCATTCTCCATCGATATAACTCTTCTTATCAAAATACACACCACATTGCCAATTCATCACACACAGGACCAACATGGAATTGTAATTTGTCATGGGTTCCACAAAAAAATTACCCTTAACTACGCAGCTGAACTCATCATGTGATTCCCTATTGCATCTAGTTAACGCACTCCAAAGCTTGTCACTTATTTCTAAACAGAATTTCTCGTTCAGTCTTGTAATATAGTGTCCATTAGTCCTTCGACCTCATTCAGTTTCCTATAGTACACACAAAATCTCGTGGAACTATTTGCGGTGTTAATACAATAGGTGAAGCCCAAGGACTTTGAGATGCTCGATCACTTTTTATTTATGCATGTATCTTATAAGTTCTGTTAAAGAAAATGATGTCAGTTTCGCCTCAGGTTTTTCCCATTTACAGTTCCTTCTCTGTGCCTTTGCAGATCTATTGCTCGAAGTCTTTCAAATTAGCTGTATGAACAGGTATCGTTAATGCTCCAGTTCTTATGAGCGTACGTGTCAGCAATATGCTTTATGCGCCAAGTCTGAATTGTTTGGATTTGATTCTTACAATGCTCTCGAAGTTTCAAGCATTCAATTTCTTTGATTTGCGTCTCCACATTTCCCTTTCTTCTATTTTCTTTTCCATCTTAGTTTCACTTTCTTCTCGTTTCTGTTGTCGTTTATCTTTTCCTCTATTTTCATATTTATTGATTCTTGTACGTTCTTTATTTCTATTTTAATTTCTTCTTGTCCCATTTTCATGTCATCTTGCACCTTGCACTGCCTTCAATTATTGTTTCATTTCTTCCTGTCTCTTTTTTCATATCATCTTCCCATTTTCTGTTTCATTTTTTTTCAAGTTTTAATTCTTCTTGTCATTCATTTATATCTGTTTCCATTTTGCCATCAAAGCCTTTATTTGTTCCTCAAATTTTGCTTCGGAATCCCTTGTTGTAACAGGTATAAAATATCTCGATTTCTCCTATTTTAACAAAATTATTGGTGTGCATTCTAGCCGCATAACAAAACAGCTTTCGCACCACTAATTTGTTCAACCAATTACTCTTCGATTAATGCCACTTTTATTAATTAAATATTTGCTCACTACTATATCACCTACTGTATCGCTTCATCCCTCTTCTTATTTCACCTTCTATCACCTCGTAACTATAACTGTTCTCTTCCGAAATCGCGACATCTATTTATAGGGGCTTGGACTTGTTCTAGATAGATTCTAAAATGTAAAATCTAAAGACTCTGATCTTCTGTTACTAGCGCAATATACATTGACGCTTCTTCGCGTTTGGTGGGTTACCCACACGTTTAAATATTAATAAAGGGTATGTTTTATGTAAATGAAATCAACTGCAGATGAATATTATTCAGCCTAATTAATAGTCAACCCATTAGTGGGTTGTAAGTACCCTACTAAGTAGTAGGTACTAAAATGCCACTAAGTGTGCTATATTAAGTAACTGTATCCCATTAACGCGAATGAAAATTTGTACATTAATTGTTTTTTGTTTATTAAAGGATGTTCATACCGTGTTAAAAAATAAATGAAAACAGTTTAACTAATTTAATTTCACAATTATTTTTTTAAACGTTTGTTGTGGTATTCTATTTCATCATTAATTTTGAACTGATGCATTTTTTCTGCTTGCTTGCTCTATTCGTTTTTTATTTAACCCCAGTCATGGCTCTTATTTTCCTTTCTTTGTTTGCTTTCCAGACATAACGATTAATGTTTAAAATGTCCTGTCATAATCACTAATAACTACTAATTGATAATAAACCAAACTAATTACAAATTGCACTTTCAATAATACGCCATATTGTATAAAATAATAGACAATAAACACACCAACAATAACCACAAAACACGACGCGACGCAAACGAATAAGAAAAAAATGACTCAGCCATCTAATTCCCGCTTAAAGATGACAACTGCTTACAACTTTAACTGCGACCATTGATACGATGTTCTTAATAGACCTTTAGTAGCTTGCTGGTAGTGATTACTATTGTCTATTAATAAAGCTGATTAATATTAAGATACTCACACTGACACTTTTCTTTTTGTGTTTCTTCTTCTTCTTTTTTTTGTTGGTTACGCTGTGTTCTTCTTCACTCAATTCTTCACTAGAACTATAACTTTTTGCTTTATGGTGACCGTGTGAAGACGATTTTTTTGCTTTATCCAATTCAGATTCACTGGTACTTGATGATCGGTATTTTTTACTCTTTTTCTTCTTTGATTTACGAGATCGTGAGTGATGATGACTGCAAGACTCTTCCATCTCATGCTGGAAATCCTAAAAAGGAGGATTTGTATTTCGTATTAAAGTCATATTTGGTAATATTTTTTGACTTATAGCGTTTTAATCTGAATATTTATTAGAATAAAAAAGGCCGAAACTAAAAATGATACAAAGGCTGACAATTTTAGCAATAAGTTTTTAAACGCCGATTTGAGGTGAGGTGGAGCAAAGTCAAGCAATGCTTAAGGGATGATTACCTTGTACACTTTAATTCGTTCGCTATCAGACTCGAACGCCAAAAATTCTTCTTCGTTTTCTATTTTAGCCTTAACTTCTTCCCATGATAATTCATAGTCTATATTCATTTCTCGTAATAAATTTTTGAAAGCTCCCTCCAACTTTTTCATTCGTTTAGTTTCTTCCTTTATGCGTTCCTTTTCTCTCACTTCAGCCTTTTAAAAATAAACTAATTAGAATAAATCATTGGAAAAATAGTCAAATAAATAACAATAACAACTTACAATACATAAATTGACGAAACAAGAATATTACCATAATTCGGAACTATTATCAGCTACTTACTTTTTCTAGTAAAGAATTATAAGTAAGTTTAACATTGCCAGCATCCAACGAAGCACTTCTTTTATCTTCACAGACAACCGTGGCAAATTGCTCGAATGTTGTTTCAATTTTTACTTCGAATTCACGTTCTTTTAAAATATCTTTTATTATTTTCTTCTCATCATGAAATCGAGCTTTTAAATCTTCTACATAAAATTTGAATAAGTCTAATGGGGTAGATCCACTTTGCCCTAAAAGATTTTCATATGCAAACTTTACAATTTATAAAAATTCCTTCAACAATTCAAAGCAAACATGCCATTTTGTAACCTTAAAAATTTCTTCAAAAACAAGTTAAAAAGCTTTAAAATTGTCATTTTAGGAAATAGCACAAGTTAAGATTAATTAATTTATGGCTACCTACGAAAACCTTGTGAATATTACCCAACATAGCAGAAAATCGTATATCTGCTGAAATAAGAGGATAAAGCTCTACCCAAAGAGACATAGACGTTAATTTTCCTTCATCATGCAGTACATCCAAAAGAGATAAAAATTGGTCTCGATTTTTACGACACTGTCTTTTATAACGTCTTTTTTCCCTCTCCTTCTCGTCCAAATATTCCTTTTCAAGGTCTTTAATGTGTTCTTGAAATACTATTAAAGCATCTTCTTTATCCATTGCTGCAAGTTTTTAATTTGAATTGTTTTAGAAATTATACAAGTTATAAATTAAGGATTTAAAAATTATTCGCTGTGGTTAAACGTCTGCCGACGAAAATACCTATTGTGAAAAAAGTCCACTGTACGACGAACTTAACGTTACTACGTTGAAGGTCCGCGGATATTTACATCGTTTACACTAGCGCGGCTGATTTTATCTTTTACTGAGATAAATTCCTAAAGGACATGGCCACGACAAGACTCGTCTTGTTTTTTCCTACTGTACCATAATGACCCTAAGCAATCAAACGAAATCATTTTTCGGTTAACACATTTATCATTAAAAAAGAAATTAGTAAACGGTTCATAAATATAGATCCACCTACATGACAGCCAACCATCGGTACCATGGAGCCTATTACCATTTATTGAAAATCGCGACAACCAGAAAATGACGCTTTATAGGACATTTGTTAGCCGATGTGCGGAGGAACTGTAAATTATACGGAGTACTATTTCGCAGCGCTTGCACAAATAAAGACAATAAGAAAGTAAAGCACATTAAGTAAACGAATCATAATTACTTTTTACTGCGTTGGTAATAATTTTCATATTGTCAAAATTAATATCGCATAAAGAATGAAAATTAAGAGGTATTTGAAAGAATAGGTGAACAAAGGACTCCATGGAAGTCAAGAGATAAGTTGATAGGACACCTTCTCAGACATGAAGGGTAGTCAGAGATATGTCTACAAGAGTTAAGAGGAGTAAAGGCAGACCTAGAAGATTAGCTTAGGATGGGAAAAAATGGAGGTGCGTGTCCAGCCAGTCTTAGGACTGACGATGATGATGAACGAATTTATTTAATTGAAGTTTTTGCACGTATCATAAAGTGGAACCTTAAGCATAATATTTGTTTTACATTTCTGGTTAAGTGCAAGTTAGCCTGGTGTTACGTAGCGGTACTTTAAACTGAATTGTTTGCCAGGGCACTAAATTTTATTATATAAACGATTGTACAAAATAACTTATCGAAACGCAGATTTTTCTTAAATCTAAACAAACTAACCCGAAACAGTTAGTAAGGTACTCATATGAAATTCTTCTCTGTGGGTATGTTCCATCCAAAGGCTAGAAACTTGAGAAAATTCCTTTGAACTCTTTTAACCAGGGACTGTTAGTAAGGATGCGAAATAACCGAAGCATATTCAAGCTTTGCCCTAACTACAGTAGAATATAATGACTTGATCGCATTTATATTGGAAAATCACCTGGTGTTTCTAATTATGAAACTGTAGGATTTAGAAACTTTTACTATGTTGGTTAGCAAATAAAATTTTTGTACCAAAAAAAGTAATTAAATCTTTAGTAGTTTTATGACAATCCAATTGGGAACCACAAAGACTATACTGGAAATTGATTCCTCATTTTTTTTGGAGTGATAATCTTACGTTTGTTAACATTTATAGAGTTTATTCGTTTTTGTGTACATGGTTAAGGTCCGTTTGAAAATTGATGCAATCAGTGATATTATTAATAAATGAGAAGATTTTAAGATTGTCTGCGAAAACAAAATTAAGACACTAAAGTGTACCTGTTATATCATTAATAAAAATCAACTGGAACTCCTGAAGAAGCCGCAACTATTTTACAGTAAAAAAGTAGGAGCAACAATATTTTTTTGAGGAGTGATAGCTATACCTCCAAGCTTCCTGTCCATACTTAAAAATGGGTTAAATTACATACAGGGTGTATTAAAAGTTAATTTTCTCAAATGGATCACACTATTTTCATAATCTGATGCACAATTTTATTCTCTTTCGAATGGTAGTATGGTTTCCTATACCCATATTCTCTAGTTTTCTTTGTAAAAGCAAACTTCGTATTATTTTTTAGCAGAACTTCAAAAAAAATAATACAGTTCAATAATTAAATATTTTGCTTCTCAATATTAATTATTGAATATTATTTCTATTAAGAATGGAAAATGAAAATATGTTTTCAAATTAAGAAGAATCTTAGAAAATATTGCAATTGCAATACTGTGGATTACAGATAACGATATTAGCGGATAACAATTAAATCTCGCCACTCGTGTTAGCGAAACGTTAGGAAGCAAGTCCAACCGACGACGACCTTTAGACTACCAATTTGTCATAATATATAACACCAACACCAAGCCTAAACTACTTCATCAAAACAGAGAAAGTCTAAAAAGATAAAAACGAAAACCTAATGTAGTTTACAAAATCCATACAAAGATACTAGTTTTGATATGTTGGTCAAATCAAACGAAATTTTAAAACGAAACTTAACGAACACAAACATAACATTAAAGAAAAATCAGACTCTGTAATCTCAAAACATATTCATCAGATCACAATATAAATTGAGAAGTTACAATCATCTTAAATAATGAAATCCACTGTAAAAAAGCTTAATTTATTAAAAAACAAAAAAAAAGCGTTAAATGAACACACCGATTCAGAAAATATACGTAAAATAGATGACAAGATTCTATTCAATTATCAAAATTTCACTTTTCTCTTGTCATATATTTTACGTATATTTTCTGAATAGGTGTGTTCATTTAACGTTTTTTTTTTGTTTTTTAATAAATTAAGCGTTTTTTTATAATTGATTTGATTATTTAAGATGATTGTAACTTCCCAATACATGTTGTGATTTGTTTCGTCGTGAATGTGTTTTGAGATAACAGAGTCTGGTTTTTCTTTAATGTTATGTTTGTGTTCGTTAAGTTTCGTTTTAAAACTCCGTTTGGTTTCACCGATATATCAAAACTAGTATCTTTTTAGTAGACCTTTAGTAGTCTAACAACTGTCGGCTCAACCAAACTAATAATAGGTCTTTAGAATGATGTTTTAGAATGTTTAAAAGAAAGAAGTTTAGTTTATGTTTTCTAGTCAATTGTTTTACCTATAATGGTCTAAATTTTACATCTGGTTACATCAACTGTTGTAACAAGTTCATTTTAAAAATTTAATACTTCTATTAACAATCAAGCCACAGGTTATTCAAATTTAAGATCAGTTATAATCTTTAATAGTACCGTTTGTTATTTTTTATGTATTCCTTCTTATTACAAATGTATTAATTTATTAGATTAATAAGAGCCACAAAGCTTGGTGACCGAAACGTCTCTTGGTTTTCTCACACCTTAAAAGAAGCAATCATTTATTTCCTATGTAATGTTATTGTAGGTGTTGGAGTGATAATTTACTTTCTACCATCTTCGTAAAAAATTAAATGATTTCAGCTATTTTCAAAAGAGTGCGTGTACATCACTCGATCGACCGATTATCGACAATCGCGTGATGAGTTCCCCTCCTGCGACGCCTTCTGTATGTATTATCGTGCGGTGGATAATTTTTGAGATATTTAAATTGCTCAACAGGCCCGCTCTATCCTACTAAGTAACAATAAAAGTAATGAAAAAACGAAATGAGTACTGGGACACATAGCAGAAGTGAAACTTCAACGGACAAGTGGAAAAACGAATGGCAACGAACAAGTGGAACAACAAATGGCAACGGACAAGTAAAAAAACGAATCGTAACAAAATTTTTATTTAAAGTTTTACGGGCAGGTTTTCAAATTGCTGTTGCGCCTTATATCCATCTAATACAGCCGTTGCCCTCTCTCCGCCGCCGCGAGCCTTTCCCTCCCTCCACCGCTGCCGCCTTTCACCTCGCGATATACTGTCTACCCCCTCCACGCGACCGTAACACTTTTTCGTGACAGAAAAAATCGTAATACCCCCGTATATATAGAAGTTTCACTTCAAAAATACTTTTTGATTGTGTACCCCTCCCATTCAGGAAGAACGTGAAACTATAAAGCAAATTTTTCCCTTCAATTTCTCAGCAAGCGAATATAAGCATACAATATATTTTAATTGTCGATAAAGATCTACCTACTCTCATTTGCAGTACAGAAAGCGTGTCATGGGTTGATTAAATTTGGTTTTTGTTGATTATTCTTATGGTTGCAGTTGGAAAGTCTTCGAAACAGATTACATATCATCATCATCATCATCATAAGGTCGTCAGTCCTAAGAAGGATCTGCGTTTAGATAAGTTTTTTTGTACAGTCCTTTACATAATAAAGTTTAGTACCCTGACCTCTTACAAAAGATTCAGTTTAAAGTACCGCTTTTTAACACCAGACTAACTTGCATTTTTTATAACCAAAAAAGTAAAAATATTATGCTTAAGTCTCCACTTCATGTTATGTGCAAAACCTTCAATAAAATAAATTCATTCATCAATCATTATCATAAAGTCGTCAATCCTAAGACTGGTTGGACACGCACCTTCACTCTTTCCTATCTTGAACTAATCTTCGCATTTTCCTAAAACTACAACATCCCAGATCCTTAACTATTTCTGAACAATAATCTAATACTAGGTTCACCTTTACTCCTCTTAACACCTGTTTCTGCCTCTAATATGTCTCTGATCAACTCTTCTTGCCTGAGAAGGTATCCTACCAACCTATGACGCCTATTTGTTATTGACTTCCATAGAGTCCTCTCTTCACCTATTCTTTCTAATACTTCTTCATTTGTAACCACGATATTCTCGTCATTCGCCTATAACACTACATTTGGAAGGCTTTTACCCTTTTCTTTTCCGCCGCGCCAACCGTCCATATTTCGCACACGTACAGCGCCGCGCTCCAAACATAACTTTTAACAATCTTTTTCGAATTTCTGAATTAATCGTTCGCGAACATAGGTGTGACTTCTTTTTATTGAAGGCACCTCCACTCTGCGCTGTTCTCCGCTTTATATCCCTACTATTCCTTCCGTACTGACTTTTCTGACTTCCTAGATACCGAAAATTAGTCACTTCTTCTCACTTTTCGTCTCCTATTTTATAGTCGCTTTTTCCCTTTTATTTCTTCCCTTGCATACCAGTATTTTTGTTTTACTTTTATTTATTTTTATGCAATATTGTTTTGTCCATACCGCTTCCATTTTATTTAAAGCTATCTCTAATTACTCCCTGCTAAATGCTAATACTGTTACATCATCTGCAAATCTAAGCATACTAATCTTTTGCTCCTATATGTCTATCCCTACAGTTGTATTGCCTTTAATGATATTTATCCCATCTTCAATATATAAATTAAAAATTAACGGTGACAATGTACATCCTTGTCTGACTCTCTTCCTAATATTTACTTCTCTACGTTGCTACTCCAGCTCTGCCTGTTGTCGTTTATGCAAACTAAATATCATCCTTCTATCTTTGTAACTCATCCCTAATTTTTAAGTATATTTAACATCTTGTTCCATTGTCAAAAGCTTCTTCTAACTCTACGAATCCTACATAGACACTCTTTCATTTTTCTATCGTTTTCTCTATTGTTACTCGTAAAGCTAGAATGGCCTCCCGCGTTCCTCTATTTCTTCTGAACCCAAATTGATTTTCTCCTAATAGTTCTTCCGCCCTTCCTGTACAATTCTATTTAAGATTTCTGCTAATCCCATTTAATTATACTGTAAGCCTCATCCGTTTAACCTACTTTAATTTTTTTTTCTACTTCTGTACACCTGATATTAATCCACTGTTCCTTAGCTGCCCTACACTTTCTAATTATATTCCACTTTATTGCCTTATATATTTTTTTGCCCTTCTTCATCTGTCCTCGTCTGTATTTCCGCCTTTTTTATATTAGACCAACAATCTCGTTTGTTATCCAAGGTTCCCACTTTCGTTTTGTTTAAGACCTAATAAATCTGTAGCTGCTGACTTTAGCCACTTTTTAATGCTTCTTTAGTATGTCGTCTGTCCTTGTTCCAAGCTTATCACGCGTTTCGTTATATTTTAGTTTTTTTTTTAAGTAAAAACGTTTCCTACCTTCTCTCTTTTTCAGAACTTTCAATTTAAGACTAGTCTTCATAACTAATACGTTATGATCGTTATGATCGCTATCTATATCTGCTCCATCCAGGAACTGTAGGAACTCCTACAGTTCCTCACTTGACTTCTAAATCTTTATCAATATTTTCTATTCATTTTAATTATCAAAATGACAAACTTACCCAGTAAATTAACGTCATTTTTAAATGAGTCGTTGCCTAAAAGCATCGCTTGGGCTTCGCTCCATGTCGTATCGTACTGAATTTCAGTCATACTGTCCAATACTTCTGACAATTTCTTCATATTGCGTTTTTTCAAAACCTTTGTTTCCTCTTTCTCTCGCTTTGCAAGAGTAAATACTACATCCTCATAAATTTCTCTTCGGTCTGTATCGGGTACTGCTTGCCACACCTTAAAAATTAATCACAAAATATGATATCTGAATTTATGATATTGCAATAAGTAATATAAAAATGTTTACCTCCAAATTTGCAAATATTTCGTCGCATTTATAATACTTCGTAGCCGATGAAATTTTATCAGAATTCATCAGAAAATCTTCAAGTGTCTCCTTAGCTTTCTTTGTTTTAAGCCTATTTTCCTCTTTCTCGTCTTTTTGTTTTTGTGTCTTATAGGCATTAAAAACCTGTTTTCTTTCGTTTAGTTTTTTGAACATTTCATATCTAAATAAAAAGACAATCACTTTATTTTTCCTTAACATAAAACTAATATGCATAAATAACAATTTATATAACAAATTATAAAATAACTTTGTGGTTTTAGAAATAGAATAGGTACATTGAAATTTACCTTGAGTCATGTTGTATTATTTTAATGCATTGTTCCCACGAAGAATTTGACGGAACATTGTATTCTTTTAATAGTTCCTTAAATGCCTCCATTGCTTCTTTTTTATCTTTAAACCCTTTGGGTTCTAAAGCTGTGTTGTTATTATCAGCAACTGGTTGACTTTGAGCTGCTGAGGTTTGCTCTTCTTCTAAAAATAATGAAGAATGAGGCATTACCATTCCATTTATGACTAATTAGTGCTAGATAATGTTTAAGAAGGTTTTTACAAAGGGTAATTACACATCCAACTAATATGTCTATGCTTAAGTCTATAAACCAATTAAAAACTATTATATTTTGATCGCCATTACAAACTTATTAGTTTTTATCAGTATATCACTGATAATTCCGATACATACTTGGCCGCACTGAACATTGTATGTATGTAAACTAGTCCCCCATTCGGATGTACGAGCGGGGACTACCTCGGGGGATATTATCAATAAGTGCAATAGAGGTAAGTGCAATATTTCACGAGTCGGAGAGTGGAATGTTAGGACAATAAGGCAAGTAGGGAAATTGAAAAATTTAAAAGTAGGGATGAATAGATTAGATTTAGATATGGTAGGTATTAGTGAAGTATGTCGGCCCGAAGCTGGAGACTTCTGGAATGGAGACAAGAATAATATATACAGGATCGGTGTAAGGTAATTTGGGGGTAAGAATTGTAATGCGTAGGAAAGTAGGGCAGAGTGTAGAAAGTTATTTACAAAAAAGCGATAGGATAGTTATGGTTAGATTAAACTCAAAGCCGGTAAGAACGGTATTAGTGCAGGTCTACATGCCTAAATCATTTTACAGTGATAAAGACATAGAAACGGTTAGTTTACTGAAAGAGCAGGAAAACCTAATAGTTGTAGGATACTTCAACACAGTTATAGGTGAAGGTAAAGAGGGTGCAATAGCAGGTTCTTTTGGATTAGGCAATAGAAATACTACGGCCGATAGACTGATAGAATTTTACGATAAACATAACTTAACCGTCGCGAATACTTTATTCAACAATCACATTAGGAGGCGCTATACGTGGAAGATACCAGATGATTAGGTTAAACGGGGAGGCTTATAATATAAATAAAAGGAATTTTAGAGAAGTAGGGTACAGTAGTAATAACATAAGAAACCAGGCAGGGTCATTTTGATAGAAAATGAGGAAAAGGCAGATAGGTGGAAAGAATATTTAGAAAACCTATACGCAGGCAATGAATTAGGATACATATTAGAGAAGGAAGATAGTGTGGAGATAGGTGAGCTAGGTTATCCCATAATGAGAGAAGAGTTCGACATAGCATTAAAAAGCCTAAAGAATAATAAGGTTACCGCCGGGTGGGATACAGGGGGAAATTCTAAAAGATGCAGGACAAGAAGTTAGAGATCGTATGTTTAAGCTAATGTCACATTTACGAAACGGGGAAAGACCCAGAGGATTATAAACGGAACGTTGTAGTAACCATACCTAAAAAGAGAGGCGCGGATAGGTGCGAGACATTTAGTACAATTAGCTTAACTTCCCATGCATCAAAAATTTTAACTAGAATTGTACAGAGGAGAATGGAAAAAAGGGCGAAAGAACTTTTAGGACATGATAAATTTGAGTTTAGAATAAATGTATAGTAGTAAATAAAATGGAGGCGGTATTGACAAAACAGTACTGTATGAAAATAAATAAAAGTAAAAAAAAATACTGGTATGCAAGGGATGAAAAAGTAGGAAAAGAGCGAATATAAAAATAGGAGTCGAAAAATTAGAAGAAATTACTACTAGGAAGTCAGGACGGAAGGAGTAGTAGGGATATAAAGCAGAGAATAGCACGGTCGACTCGCTTTCAATAAAAAGAAGTCACTTCTATGCTCGCGAACGATTAATTTAGAGCACGGCACTGTACGGGTGCGCAACAAAGACAGTGGGAGCGGCGAAAAAGAAAAGTGGTGTTAAATGTGGTGTTACAGGCGAATGATACCGTGGATAGAGAAGGTTAGAAATGAAGAGGTATTAGAAAGAATAGGAGAACATAGAACACAGGGAATTCAATATGAAATAGGCGAGAAAAATAGGTCTAGATAGAGACATATTACAGGTAAAAAAGGAAGTTAGGAGTGGAGGTAGACCTAGATTAGATTACTGTTCGCAAATAGTTAAGGAAAGAATGGAAGTGCGTGTCCAACCAGTCTTAGGACTTAGGACATCCTACTGATGATGATGATGTGATATTTTGAAGTTTTAGAAATTTATAACTTAAAAACTTCATTGAATCGTAACCTAACCTAGCTTAATCAAAGCAAATCCAACCCCAACCTAATTAGACAACTTACTTTTTTTTTAATAAGCACAATGTAACTAAAATAAATGAGGAGCTTTAAGGAAGGGGCAGAAGCCTTGCGAGTGAGTTTGTGTTAGCAGTTTCCGCAAAAAATTGCTTTAGACATCAATAATCCGGATCCAACTCAGAAGGACTTCGTTGCGGGGGGCTTTTCGAAACAGCGCGTAAATCAAACAGCAGTACACAATACAAACGATGTGCAGGATCATGTGATGATCGTTGTAAATAAAATTCGCCAAAATGTCTGAATATTTTGAACGAGTTAAAAATAATTTGGATAGGTATTTTGAAGCTTGTCTTCTGCTTGTGTTGCCCAAACCAACAACTGGGGAATAAGTAACCGATAAATTGTTGGTTGTTGTTTTTGCTCACTTTAAGTGTTGGAAAAGCGACGTTTTTTGTTTTCATTCTATCCATATGCAGCTGCCCGGTCTTTATTTAATTTGTACTCAGATTTAGTTGTGCTACACCACGTTAACAAAAAACGCTCAGGATCACTTTCGGTTTGTAACTTCTTACGGATTTCTTACAAACTTTTTTATCCTTTTTTAACCGTGCTGCTTGTATTCATCATGCAATTGTTTATTGCATCTAGTTAACACCCTCCAATGCTCTACACTTATTTTCAGTTCATATAAACAATATACATATGCTCGATTTGGAAAAAGTACTATTAAGTCTATTTCTAATAATAAATAAATGAATTAATCTACCTTTAGAAACTGCAGGTGGTTTTGGCAGATTTATAGCAGCTAATGTAGCAGCCATTGAGGCTTCCAGAGCACTCTTACTTCCAGGGCTGGAAACTAAAATTAAAGTATACTAAGTAGCACAAGATCATAACAAAAAAAAATTACGGGTAGGTGTAGTAACTTTTGGTGAAGATGTACTGCTTTTTGTATTTGGACTTACAACTTCTGCTGATTTAGGCGTCAAAGTGACTGAGGTTGTTTTACTCCTAAAAAAACAAATATAACTAAACAGACACATTAATAGTAAAGTTTGTTACTCTTCTTCTGCAATTTTCTTCTTTATTTCTTCTAATTCTTGAGGAATGACCCATCTAGATTCCTTTGTATTAATATTGTGATAATATACTTTCCCATTATCTGCTGTATATTCTTTCCAAGGACATTGTGAAAGAAGTAACTAAAGTAAATCTTATCAATATGTCCCCATGAAATAATACAAAAATTTATATAAGTACCTCTGTAGGAGTTTTAAGAGAATCGGGCTTTTGCCAGGAGCTCTGCTTAGTTATTGAATTATAATAATAAGTTCTTCCATCAGGAGCTTTATGTTCTGACCATTCAGAACTACCGGATCCTGGTGGTGGAAATGAGTTAAAGCCAGGGGGAGGTATGCTGAATGGCGGTATTATAGACGGAAACGGTGCAATAGAAGGTATCTGTACAGAAGGAAGTACGGGAGAAGTCCCTATACCTGCTGGTGGAGGGCCGTAACCCGGTGGTGGTATATTTGCAATTGTAGGATCCTAAAACCAATTCAAGAAAATAAAGTTTAAATACGACCAAATGCTAAATAAATTAAAATAAGTATTTACCATTTATTTCATTTATAATAATCGTCAAAACTGCACACGTCGTGTTTAACCACTAGTTTTTACCCATAACTTAGTTTGGTTTGAAAATTGAAACTTTAGCAGACTTTTGCTCCTTAACCTTACCAATTATTAGTATCATAGATCAGCATGTTTAAGTGTAGCTGTCACACCATGTTGACCCACAAATCAACAAATATGACAAATATAGTCGAACCATAGTTGAACGCTGGCAGCACTTGTGTAGTATGTTCATATTCTATGAGCATAGTCCTAATAAACAAAATATTCCCAACTTTATAGAAAGCAATTAGTTCATAATTTAACGTCAGGTTATTTTTACTGATAAAGTAAGTACGCACCTGCTTGCTTATACCCGTTATTAATGGTTTTTCAACTAAAAAGTTATGTTACCTATGAATAGATTTAAAATATTTTTCAAAAAACACTTTTTGTTTTATGAGATACAATCGAGTGATAGATTTGTCTATTGTTTCGTGCAAGCCCAATGCGCAAGCGCAATAATTGAATACTCAGTAAAAAACAATTAACTTGAAATAAATATAACATATTAATCTGAAAAGCTAATAATAAAAATAATATTACAATTTGATAATTTTTTTCTGTTTTATAAGTACGTGGATTAATACAATAATTATAATATTAAATTTTTAATAATAGTCATCGGTCAACATTGACAGTGTTAAGTGGTAATCGCCACAAAAAGGTACCCCCAACCCGAACACATCCGTGTCCCAGACGAAAGATTCAACAACGTCCATCCATGGCAGTCTCTCGAGGTTACCGTTACTGCCTGACTATAATAGATAGATTCAGATGCAGGACCACAGCATATCATCCTCAGTTAAACGGCACCGTTGAACGATGACACGGTTCTCTTAATGCCGCCATCAAGTGTCACAAGACGTTAGACTGGGTACGGGTGTTACCAGTGGTATGCTAGGACAAAGGAACAGCCTGAAAGAAGACATCGGAACATCTGCAGCTAAACTAATTTATGGTACCACTCTCAGATTTCCCGGGGAGTATTTTTTCAACGAGAAACCTTCGCAGGATACACAAATATCCTAGAACATCTGAGGCAAATTATGAGAAAAATCAGACCCCAGCCCACAGCTCACCATAGGACCCGAATTTTTACGCCAAGGACTCTGTACATGTGTACACATACTTTTGCATGAATTGATGGCGTGAGGAAGCCACTAGATCAACCATACGAAGATCGTATGATATTGTCGAAAGACTAAAAGACTTTTGCTTTAGAACCAATGTAAAAGGCATCAATTAAAACATCTCAGTTGACAATATAAAAGCAGCCTTTATTGTGAGAGAGATGGACGACAACCCGAGCCAAATCGCGGATCATATACCAGTAAACGTCACATTACCCACAAGGCTGAAGACATATATTTTGCAGTGACATTCAAGGCGAAGAAATTTCAATTCGCGAACTAGCTAGGTCGCTGGAGGGGGAGTATTTGTGGCGATTACCACTTTAACACCGTCGCTAGTATTAAAACTTTAAAGAAAATATAAAAGACAGTTGAAGCTTTTCCGCGGTCAGTGGTGATTTCTTTTGACGTCCCTAAGCGAGCCACCCAATTTTTGAAAATGACAATTATGTGTTCGGGTTGCTATTTCGTGTGACTCCTGATTTTTGATCGTTGGCAGAGAAGACATGTTCGGGCCCATTCGCTGACGTCCTTGTTTATCAACGGCCATACGAATTTGTACTCGATTGTTTTGCGTGTCGATCTGGCGCTTGAGTGAGCCATGTTATGCACGGCACCGAATATCGGCTTTCGTAGCAAACTTGGGATATAAGATCTGATATTCTCTAAAGAAACGACACAATAAATGTCTGTCTCTGTGCCATCCACCCTTATGCGTTTCAGTAGAAGAGCCCCTGGGTTCTAGAACGGTTCTGAAAGCTCTCTGTCCGTCTGTTGTGCTGCGGCGATGTCTTTGGAGCAAACAATGACGAGAAATTCGACGTTATTCACTTCACCCTGGACAAGCTGTCAGCAACTATGTTGTCCTTACCAGGTACATGGACAAGCCTGGTTGTGAATTATCCAATAAAGTCAAGTTCTCTTTAATGTCGTGGCGAGGCTTTGGTTGGTCTTTGGTCGAAAGCGTAGATTAACGGCTAGCATATGACGGAAGTACTGGACAGCTGAGTATATTGCCGGTAGTTCTCGTATAACGTTACTTCGTTTGGGTGAGTTTCTTCGCATTTTATTAACGTTCTGCTCCAGTACGGTCCCCATAAAGGTGTCCGAGGTGTCGGTCGTCAGAGTAAGTTTAGCGTCTCCCGCGGGATGTGCAACAAGTGTCGCCTTGGCAAATTGCTCCTTGCATGTCTCAAAAGCTCGTTCGGTTTCTGGGGATCACTTGACGGGTCGTTTGTCTCACTTCTTGGTCTCGGCCGGTGGTACTTAGACTGCCATGGCGTCTCGGATGAAAGGTCTGTAAAAGTTCAACATTCCGAGAAACCTGCACAAATCAGTTATTGTGGTTGGTTTTTTAATGTCTCTAATTGCTTGAACTCTGAGAGGTAGTGGTCTGGTAACGTTGGTCGTAACTTTAATGCATAACTATTCGACTTTATACACTTGCCCAATTCACAATTTTGTTTTTTAATAGTTTCTCTTTAATTGTTCTGTTGGAATCTTCTTAGTACTTCCCGTAGGTGGTTTCAGTGTTCTTTTTCAGGCCCTGGAAGTGATTGTCCATAAAGCACTGGAAATGCATCCATGAAGTCGATAAGTGAAGTCCTGAATGTTCGTAATAGGGCATCTGTCAGATACTGTCACCTTTTTTAATTGCTTGTAGTCCCGCAAAGTCTCCACCAGTCATCATCATCATTCTTTCGAATGATTACGACATTCAAGTATGGACTATTCGACGGGCTTACGATACCATCTTGCATACAACTCTCGACCTCCTGTTGTGCCTGTCGTCGTCTGGTGGGTGACAACCTCCGAACCCTGTCGTTACAGGGTGGTCCTCGTGTCAAGATGTGGTGTCTCACCTTGTGCCTAAGTTCTCAGTGTGGTTTCGGTCTCGTGATGTCAATGAACTCTCGTACAATTTTGTGTTATTGAGAGTCATTGCTAAGTGTCGTCAACGAAAGTGTCCTGACTGTGGAAATTAATCTGATCGATGAGTGCTTGGTCGTCGCGTCTACCAGTCGTTTGTGCCGTATGTAATAGTAAGTTAAAATTGTGCAGAAAGTCAGTACCCTGTATAGACCGTGCTACGTGGGCGAAGATAAATTTCCAAGTGAATGATAGCCTCAAGTTGAGGTCCATGGTCAGGCTCTTCTCTTCGTAAGTCTCGATCTTCGTCCAATTGGCTGCGTATAAGACTCTGTCGCTGGCGGTCGTTTTCTTGGCGTATTGTTTGGGAAGTATGGATACGTTCACTCCTCTGTCAATCAGGAAACGGATGGTTGTCTTCTTGTCCGTTACGAGGAGGCATTTTGATGTGTTACCAGCTGGTCGCTGTCTCAACGCGTACCAGCGGCTCTAGTTTTCCGCGGCGATGTTGGTACAAGGCTTGCGGCAACGACGAGCGTTGTCTCCGAATCTACGGTGGTAATGGCACTGCTCTGCTCACACTTCCCGAAAGGTGATCGACCCCGCAGATTGTTGCGGCCTCTGGACTCCTTTCTCTGGTGTAAATGTGAGAAACACTCAAACATGCGCGTCAGTGCAAGAAAGAAGGAGTTTTGAGTAAAGTAGCCTGCCATACTTTGCCTTACTTTGCGTACCTATTGGCCCAGTTCTTAACTCATTACATTTGTTCAATTCCCATTTTCTTTCTTTTTTGTATATATATTTTGTTGTCGTTAAATTCTCGTTTTGCATATTTTATTTGTGCATTTAACATTTGCTTTTTGTACATATTTGTTCTTTATATATATTTTGTTTTTATTTCTATGTTTCATGTATATATTTTAGTGTGTAAAAATAAACATTTTATATCACTTGTATGTTTTTGGGCATCTGTTCCAAGAATAGACTACGTAAGATGATGTTGGAACAGTCGTTACCTGTCAAATTTCAGAGATTCTGTAGGAAAACGGGCGGTTTGTCTTCACCTACAGACTGATCGCGCAGTAAGCGTCGTAACTTCGTCTCTTATTAGTCAGAAAAGCTGTCAATGATTCATTTATTCATTACCTCATATTTGTTTTTCTCAGGCGGGTTATTTATTATGTATATATATTTATATTCTGTGTTTCGGCGTCGTTAAAGTATAGTCGGCCTAGAACTGTGCAAGTAATCTTACATCCTTTATTGCTTCAATTTCTACTGTTGGTTGAATTTGCGGCGTCTGTGAATCGTCGCTTGTCGAAGATGTGTTCTTATGGTCAGTCAACTTTGTATATTCCAATCACGTCAAGACACCAATTTATAGTTCCTTTTACCATATGATAGATAATAGTTAACGAGAGAAATGAATTTACTATATTTATTATCAATTCTAAGCCAGAAACTATAATGATAAATTATGCCAGTCCAGCGATGGAAAACCGATGATTTGTTACTGTCGTTAAGCTTCAACTGACACAAACCAGAGAAATTTCATTGAAAGTGAGAGAATTGTGAAAACTGAATATATAAAGTGAGTTTAATCAATAAAATAAATAAAACACATCAAATTAAAGTAGTAATCAATGGAGATAGTATAATTGTATCCGTTACATTTTCTTGTAATACAGGGTTAGGAGAAAAACGTAAGCATATTATTGTTACATTATTATATTGTAATAGGTAAGTCAATATCAATACGTGAATATTGTTCACTATTGCATATTTCACTAAAGTTCATCATCATAAGGTCGTCAGTCCCAAGACTGGCTGGACATGCACCTTTATTCTTTCCGATCCTGAGCTAATCTTTAAAAAAATTATAAATATAACAATTAGTTAATATATCACTTATTACTTATTAATAATTGTGAGTGAATCCCCCAAACTGTCACTTTTGCGAATCACTTTTAATACATTACCACCAAAGACGACTGGGGAACCAACTACTACAGTCAAAAATGCATATATCTAATACTCCTATATTGCTAGTAGGGGTCTAGAAAAAGATGACCCAACGGTGCAGACATATATGCGTCTGTCTCTCTCATAACTACTTCAAGTATTACGCGTATGCTGGACAATTGAACATGTCTGTAAGCGCACTTCACTTACCCCACCAGATTCGTGACGATTGCGGACAACGGGTCGAATAATCTAAAAAGAGACAGAAGTAGTCGTTTGTTGTCTCATTTACTCCGTGACACTTCCACTTACGGGAACTAGCAATACAGGAGTATTAGATATATGAAAAAATGTCGGTGAAAATCATTCATATGTCACTCCATATAAGTTTCTAGTTCCTGTGCTTGACAGAGTTAACAGTTAAATTTTATTTTTCGGTATACCTGCATTAAAAAAAATTCTAGAATTTACTTTTAATACAAGTTACAGAGAAATAGTGCGGTAACCCGGGATTTATGAATAAAGATATCATCATCATCATAAGATCATCAGTCCTAAGACTGGTTGGACACGTACCTCCACTCTTTCCTATCCTGAGCTAAACTTCACATTTCATTAAAACTAGAACAACCCACATCCTTAACTATTTGTGAACATTAATCTAATCTAGGTCTACCTCTACCCCTCCTAACTCATGTTTCTGCCTCTAATATGTCTCTGACTAGACCTTCATGCCTGAGAAGGTGTCCTATCTCGCCTATTTTTATTGACTTCCATAGAGTCCTCTGTTCTCCTATTCTATCTAATACCTCTTCATTTCTAACCTTTTCTACCCACGTTATCCTCATCATTCGCCTATTACACCACATTTCGAAGGTTTCTAACCTTTTCTTTTCCGCAGCGCCCACTGTCCATGTTTCGCACGCGTACAACGCCGTGCTCCAAACACACACCTTTAACAACCTTTTTCGAATTTCTAAATTAATCGTTCGCGGGCATAGAAGTGACTTCTTTTTATTAAAGGCTTCACAACCCTGCGCTATCCTCTGATTTATATCCCTACTACTCCTTCCGTCCTGATTTATCTGACTTACTTCAGCCACTTCCTCTAATGTTTCGTATCCTATCTTTATATTCGCCCTTTCCTTACCTTTTCTTCTCTTGCTTACCAGTATTTTAGTTTTACTTTTATTTATTTTCATACAGTACTGATCTGTCAGTACCGCTTCCATTTTAAGACCTAGTATATCTGTAGCTGCTGACTTTAGGCCATTGAACTAGACTACAGATACTGGAACGCGTACGCTATGTTAAATTTGTGAGCGCAAGTGTGCGAATAGCCATAGATAATAGACACACAAAGGGTAATAGACACACAGGCGCTTATGAGTCAACATCGGAAGTCAGGTGAAAATGAGGCAGGTGTGCGATACCCGTGTATGATTTTACATTGCCGTGCGGTATCTTTATCGCAGAAATTATTAACAAATTATTGGGGTGTTTTAAAATTTGTTAAAAAGCAATAAATTCATTAGAAATAATTTTTATTGTGACCTAGTACAAACAAAACAATACAATTAATCCGAAAAAGTTCTAATTTTAATTAACTAAATTATTCTAATTAAATTAAAGTATTCTAATTAAGTTAATAAAATATTTTAATAAATTAAACATGATAAAATAATATTTTTTTATGTGAGCTATGTCTAATGTTACATTTATCGCCCAATTATTGAGGTCTCTTTTTTTGGCGTACTTTTTCAGTGGAAATTTAAAATAAATATATGTGTAGAACTAATATACTAATAATTAACAAGGTAATTATCCTTATTTTTCATTAAAATTTTCGCGTACACATGTACCCATAATGCAGGTTAAATTATATTTCATTGTTTTAATCTCTAATTAATACTTATTTATGGAATTTTATGTTTTCATTGGATCTCCATTCATTTGTGCACCTATATGTACAACAATATCTAACCATTTCAACTAATTACTTTAAAAAACTAAAAAAATTAACAACACAGTCTAAATAACACCTCTATTTACGTTAGTATGACGCAGACAGATAACCACGCCACAGCGTCTGACCTTGTCTAACACTTGGGATCAACTTTTTCAACAGCTTCCCATAAGCGCGCTCATTCCAGTGTTCCCCTCCACTTCAATGCTTTAGGCACGTTTTAATGCAGTTTCATTCTGTCTCTATGTCCCCGTCATTCGTTTTTCCCGCCGCCTTTAGTATTTTGTTTGTCCTTTTACCTAGCCTATCACGCGTTTTATTACATTTTAGCTTTACGAAGTCGAGACGTGTCCTACCTTCCCTCTTTTTCAGAATTTTCAATTTAAGATTGGTCTTCATAACTACTAAGTTACAATCGCTATCTATATCTGCACCTGGATAACTCCTACAGTCCTTCACTTGATTTTTAAATCTTTGCCTAACAAGTATGTAATCTAACTGATATATCCCTAAATCACCTGCTATCTGCCACGTATAGCGCCTCCTAACGTGATGGTTGAATAAAGTAAAGACTGCCTACATATTTCTTATTCTCAGATTATCTGTTTACAGTCTGATTATGTATTACCTATGGGTCTACCCAACCAATAAACAAATAACCTCATTCATTCGAAACCTTCAGCCATTCCAACCAATATATAGAATGTAGAGATAAAGACTTTATTGAACGAAAAGAATATTAAGAAGATATTAGAGTAAAAATCGTAAAAAAATGAATATATATATAAAAAGAACAATATTATATATAAAAAAATATTTTACACTGACGATAGTGCGTAAGCGTGTCATGAAAGAGATAGCACTAGTCCAAAACCATACGCCATCTCTCTCACTCTTTTCCAGCCAAGAAATTATTACAACGACATACGGCTAAGGCACGTCCATTAATATATGTCTATGATCTTATCTATCTATTTATGTATTTTACTGCCGTGACGTTATTCATTTTCATCTTATTCATCATAGAGAATTATTTCATCTATGGAGAATTATTCATTATTCCGTCGAACATATTTTTGTGTCCCGGCTATGTTCCGGCCTATTATTTATGGTTCCGGCATTAAAAGTAAATATTAAACAAAAATATGATATGACGGTAGGTTAATGTGGCGGTGTTGAATAGATTGACTGGTGTAATTAGATTGTTAACAATGTTATGTGCTATATAGATCAGTTATTAATATTTATTTAGAAAAGTTGATGTTTTAAGCCAGGTTAATTCAATGAAGAAGGATATATTTTAATTACATATAGTTTTATGCAATGTTACGTTCGATCCAAGTGCCGTTATATTTAAGACGTTTGGAGTTTGTAAGATTATATTATACTGTGCGTTCATCATCTGACAATTTATCAAAAGTGCAAAACGATGAAATTTCAAAGCATATTTCACAAAGAATAAAAATAGCAGGACCTATGACAATAGCTGAATATATGAAAGTAGTATTAACTAATCCCAATGGGGGATATTATATGCATCGAGATATGTTTGGTGAGGAAGGCGATTTCGTTACATCACCAGAGTTGGGTCAACTTTTTGGAGAAATGATTGCTATATGGTTTTTAAATGAATGGTCAAAACTAGGTTCTCCTAAACATTTACAGATTATTGAATTAGGGCCAGGTCGAGGGACACTGTGCCAGGATATGCTGAGAGTATTTCAACACTTTCGCGTGCTAGATACTGCAAGTGTTCATTTACTAGAAGTAAGTCCTCTTTTAAGTAATTTACAAGCAAAAAGGCTGTGCATGACTTCTCATTATGATGAAAATGCTGTGGTATACAGAAAAGGTACAAGCCATCAAGGTGTTCCTATTTCATGGTATAGAAGGTTTGCTGATATACCAAAAGGATTTAGTATTGTGATAGCTCATGAATTTTTTGATGCATTACCAATTCATAAACTTCAAAAAACAGAAAATGGATATAGGGAAGTACTGGTAGATGTAGATCCAAGTGATGAAACAAAATTAAGGTATTTTTTTTGGTTTTATATATTATGGCTTGCCATTTTGCTATTTAATAACATAGTCTACTTAGACCAGCTGAAACCTTCTTAACTAGGGGATTACTATTTAAGCCTCTGATTAATGATCTTGTATACCTACTTTACCTCATTTTAATGTGTAAGATTTGAATAATTGTCGATTGTTTTCTATATCTCCCATTTGTAGGCTGTCTTTGATTTCTTGAATATACTAGTCTTGCAGTTGTGCAACTAAGAGTCAATCGCTTTCTTTTATGATGACCACGATACGTTACTGTTAGGATTCAAGGGTTGGTTTTACGGCTTAGAGCGTCCACATGGCGCACTTATGAGCTAGCTTGTTATTTTATTTTACACTGATATTGCTTAATTGTAAAGTCCAACGGTCAGTTCGAGAATTTAATTCTTGTTTTGAAAATGTTATTCGGACTGCTTGATAATGGCGAAAATGTTTAACTGATTCGACTATTGCGATTGTTTCCAACTATAATATGCGACAGCTCTTTCTTTTGCTCCATCAACCTGTACCAAAACGTTCGCTAAATCTATATAATACGGCTTGCTTATTTAACTCGGACGTAGTTATTTACAGAGTATAAGTCTGCAATCTATAGAGATGCAAGTGCTTCTGTGCATGAGAGCGCAAATCCAAAACCAAAATAAGCATCTAAAAACTCTAAATTAAAACTAACAGTATTAAAAACTACACAAAAACATTACTTAATTATTTATAATTTGAACACAGTATATCCACATGTTATCAATGTCAATTTCCCAACTTGAAGAATATAACAATAAAACAAATGGTATTCAACTATTAGGAAGAGTATTATTTCGATATTATCCAGCTTTCTAATTTGAGTCTGAGTTTTTGTTTGTTGTCATTTAAGGATCTGAATTCTATATTCAGTGTAGTAAAAGTCTTTAGTGCAATTTTATATGCCCTCTGGGTAAACAGTTTTGTTTATTTTAGGTGAGTTTAGTGCTCTATATATGATACCACTTGAACGTGACCATAACTTAAGTTGTAATTTACTGTAATACCTCATCACTGCACACTGCATCAAGTTCGTTCGCCTGCTCGAGTGTCATTGGTATGTCTTTACAATTTTCGTGGTGATTTTTTCTGATTATATTCCCTAACAAACGCTTACGTAATAATACAAGAGATGCCAGAATGCTTCCATACTTCCCACTCCAGACAAGGATACCATAGTTAACCAAGCAAAGTATATTATTTTAAGTATATTTCGAGGCACAAATCTAGATAATTTAGCCAAAATAAAAATTAACTACTTTGTTCTATTAACGAGATGTCTAATATCTTCTTGCTAACGCATTCTGGTATCAAAAGTTACACCAAGATATTTAGTATGGTTAACCCTTTTAGTCCTCTCCTCATTCACTCTTACATCAATAACCTTCGGGACGCTGTTAACCTAGCAGCTAAAAGTCATGAAAACAGTTTTCAAAATGTTCAGGGTCAGATAGTTTTGTATCGTCCAGTTATAAACAGTTTGCAATCTGTTATTTATGTGGGCCTGAGCAATGCCTTCCTAACCTTGCCCAATTTGTTCAATAGTATATTGTGGTCATCGGTATCAAAGGCTTTTTTGAGGTCTAAGAAAGCAATTATGATTTTTTATTTCGATTCAGGTTTTGGTAAATTTTGTTTGTTACAGTGGAGGTGCGAGTCCAACCGGTCTTAAGACTGACAACCTTATCATGATGAGAAGCTAAAGCTTCTGAAGTGCCGACATTTTTTTGAAACTAAATTGATTATTTGAAATACTTTATTTTTAGTAAACAAAAAACATACTGTTAAAAATAATTCTCTCGGACTGGTTGGCCGAGCCAGATATAAGTGAGATAGGTCTGTACTTGCTTGGGTCAGTTTTGTTTCCTAATTTATGAATGGGTAAATCTCTGCTATTTTCAACACTTTCGGCCATGTCGCTTTTTCAATACATATATTAAAAACACTAGCGAGCGGCGCAGCAATTAATGGTGCAATACATTTTAGCCCACTACATTTATTGGCCTATGTATAGCAACGATAACCTCAACGTCCAAAATAGATTCAATAAATAATGGGTCGCACATTGTTACAAATTTTAAACGAGCAACGTTCTTGGGTTCAGTGATCCTGCTTGCTAAGTCCCTACCTATGCTACTGAAAAATGCGTTAAAACAATTAAAAATAATTAAAATCATGTAATATCATAATAAAATATCATTAAAATCTTAGGAAACCCTGTATAACAAATGAGATTTTAGGATTAATAGAAGAAAGGCGGAAATACAAAAACAGGACAGACGAAGAAGGGCAAAAAAGATATAAGGCTATAAAGTGGGAAATAATTAGGAAGTGTAGGGCAGCTAGAAACAGTGGATTAATAGGATGTGTAAAGTAGTAGAAGAAAAGTTTGAAGTAGGTAAGACCGATGAGGCGTATAATATAATTAAAAGGAATTTTAGAGATGTAGGGTACAGTAGTAATAATATAAGAAACAAGGCAGGGGTCATTTTGATAGAAAATGAGGAAAAGGCAGATAGGTGGAAAGAATATTTAGAGAACCTATACGCAGGCTCTGAGTTAGGAGATATATTAGAAAAGGAAGATAGTGTGGATATAGATGAGCTTGGTTATCTCATAATAAGAGAAGAGTTCGGTGTAGCATTAAAAAACTTACAAGAACAATAAGGCGCCAGGTGTAGATGGGATACAGGGGTAACTTCTAAAACATGCAGGACAAGAGGTTAGAGTTCGCATGTTTAAGCTAGTTAGTCACATTTACGAGACGGGGAAAGTCCCAGAGGATTATAAACGGAACGTAGTAGTAACATTACCTAAAAAGAAGGGCGCGGATAGGTGCGAGACATTTAGAACTATTAGCTTAACTTCCCATGCATCAAAAATCTTAACTAAATTTGTACAGAGGAGAATGGAAAAAGGGCGGAAGAACTATTAGCGGAAGATCAATTTAGATTTAGAAGAAATAGAGGAACGCGGGAAGCCATTCTAGCTTTAAGGGTAACATTAGAAAAAACGATAGAAATAAAAAGAGGGCGTACATAGGATTTGTAGCAATTATAGAGATGGGGCTGCAACGTAGAGAAGTAAATATCAGGAAGGGAGTCAGACAGGGTTGCACACTGTCGCCGCTACTAGTAGGATATCTAGGGGCAAATCTCCTTATCTCCCAATGCTTTCCTTACAGCACTTCCGCTCGTTAGACTGATTCTTATCATATAACTCTTCATTACTTTGAATTAATAATTTGTTTTCGTTAATAAGGTGATTCTAGAAATCATTGAGTTCCATTTGAACTGCTTTATTTTTTATCATCGTAGTGTGAGCATTCCGTAACTTTGTATTCACTATATGAGCTTCTTTTTGACATTGTTCCATCCTTTCGTTTGTAATTTCGAGATAATCTGCAGTTTCGAATGATCTTACTATTTTATAATTTTAAGGTTACTTTTTGATTGTAACTGCATACTTCGAATACACCTCTGGTAGATTTACATTTTTTACGTTCCGAACAACTATTATGATAAACAGAACCACAACTAATGTACACTTCATTTTTAAATTTGGTTCAAACAAGAATCGTACCGGTTTGGACGTCATATAATCTTTTAGTTCCTCAAATGATCTCGTTTGTTCTCTCGGTATTGGTTCACGGTGATTTCTGTGTTCATATAAAATTTCAAGTGTTGTCACAACATCACTGGGTCGGTGATTATATGGTATCACTGAGTTAGAGGCGGAGGGTGGAGTTGAGAAGTAAACCAATCAAAATTCAAAAAGTCCAAATGCCCAAAACCTTTAGTTCAAAAACATATGTCCGATACTCAAGTATATACCCTAAAACTTCAAGTTTTACGGGCAGGTTTTCAAATTGGACAGGTACATTGACAATCTGAACTTGAAGTAAAAATTTTCTTGCCATTCGTTTTTCCACTTGCCCGTTGGAGTTTCACATCTACTATGTGTCCCAGCACACATTTCGTTTTTTTTTAAAAACTTTTGTTTAATAAAAAGCTTTTATGTCATGGCATAGTAAAGGTAAATTTTTAAAATTTTCACATACAATAAACTTAACTCAAAATGCAAATTGTTATTAGATATTATGTGTAGACAAAGGTACATAATTTTAATGATATTTTATGATGATATCACATGATTTTAATTATTTTTATTGTTATTCATCTAGACGCAGACCTATAATTAAAATGGAATGAAATTTTTTGTCTCAACATAGACGAAATGAAAGCCGAATAATGAATATGAATTTTAATTATATATATGTACAATTAATGAATAATTTGTATTATATATATACATAATTATTTCGTGAGTTAGAATTGTGTATATAACAAACTTCGAATTATTGTTATGTAGAGGAAAGTCACCAAATATGGAATACCATTTTGAATTAAGGATATTAAAAAAAAACTTTCATAGAAATGAAAACAGTTTAATGTTATTACTAATCAATCATACATTTATATGTAGTGATTAACAGCCTTTAATCAAATATATTAGTTATCAAATTAAAAATCTAACACAAAAACCAAAATCACAATTGAGTAACCAAATATGGAATAGGTACCAATACAGCGACTGATCAAGAGTTCTGACCGCCCTNAACTCGCACTAGGCACTCTGTTGCCAGCTCACCCACTCGCTCAACCACCGACCGATTCGAGTAACAAGTCAGTGTTTGTTGTACGCACGCTTTTTAAAATTTCAAAATTTATTGTTAAAATCAGGGACTCTCAAGCGCATTTAGTTTTAATGTTTTGTCTCGGATCCTCGCGCCCTAGGCTGCAGCCTAATTAGCCTAAGGGTTAATCAGGCCCTGTACCAATATATGGAATATAAGCATAAATCATCATATCAATAACAAAAATAGACATAAATACCTACGAGATCAAATAAATGACAATAACATATTGTGAAAAATGAAAGTTTACTTAAT